TGTTTGTAAACATGTGTAAGATTTCTGTGCGTAAGTATGGAAAAAGCCTCATCAATCTTAAATACTCTGTTTATGTTGCAGAATATGGTGCTGAGACTTAAGTGGGTATCTGTTACTTTGGTTTTGCCTTCTTAGAAGGTTAAATGTTAAGCGTGGAAGGTGCTATGTAAGGTATTTCAGACAGTGAGTAAAGAGTGCAACAGTTTGTCAGTGAGAGAAGAGTTGGGTCTGTATCTTCTGAAGTACTGATATGCCTCTTCTGTTTACATAAAATAAGTGATCCTGTTAAAGGGTAGTAGCGTTCAAATGAGGCGTGCTTATGCAGTGCATAATATGAATGTAGTAAAGTGTACAGGCTATACCAGCTAAATCAAATATCCATTGTTAGTGAAACTGCAGGTTTAGAGGATGAAAGGAACACAGCACACTTAATGCATATAGATGCAGGTAAATGTTTATTGCTGCATCTCATGCCAAGCTGATGGAAGCTGTGTTCTGGGCAGGGATACTGGTGTTAGAGGGCTCACATATGAGTCTATTTGTGACATAGTCTTTCGTATGTACCTGTGGCTTATGTCCAGTTCAAGTCAGTTTTGGCTCAGTTGTAGCATGATCTGTGTGAGGTGTGCTATATCCTCACTGAGGACTTCCACTTTACTGTTTGACAGCTTGCTCTCAAATTCAGTTCCTAGCCTATCTCTTGTCTTTCCCACAGCAACTTTAGAGGAACAAGGATGAGTGGTGGTCCCTTGTTATAAGGAAGAAGTGCTGTCCTGTGGGGTGTGTGGGGATCCTAGAAGGACCAATGATTAAAAACAAAGGAAAATTCAGATTGCAAAATTGAAATGCTTCAAAGGTTCCACGAGCCTTCTAACTACTTGTTTAGCTACCAGAGGTCAGATTTGTAGATGTATTTAAGCATACACCTCAGTTACTTATTTGTAAAATAGGGATGTACATACAATCCTTTCTCAGAGGCTTTAGGTTTAACACTTTGAATACCAAGAGATGAGTACCTTCTGTAATGTTAGTGAATATTGTAGCTACCAAAAGCACTAATGGATACATTTAGGTTTGTTTGTTGAGGGGATCAAACACCGAAATTTTTGCCTGTTCCTTTCAATAAAAGGTGAAACAAGCCATAGTTTGGTGACTCTTTTCCTAGTTTCTTTGCTAGCTATTCTGATGTGTGTGCAGTGCATAGAAAATACAGAGCAATTGTAACACTACAGACAACTTTTATTTCCCTCTTGCAGTGACCTTGTTGAGGAAAAAGTGCTGCTTCTGAATTTCTGTATAGCTCAGAAGGAGGAAAACATCCAATAAAAATCTTGTTAAAAAGTAGCTGACTATATTTTTTTTATAGGTAGGAGCATAAGAGGTTTTTTGAGAGCTTTTTTATCGATTCAATTGCATCACTGTGTGAAGGAAGCAAATTTAGACAAGACTGTAAAGGAGCAAGTTTAGCCTTACTGTAGTAGGATACTGTAGTGAATTGTCTCTGTGGTGTTTGAATTTTCTCACTGAAATTAAACAGGAAAGGGCCTCTTGTTCTTTAACTTGCCTTGCTAGAAGCTCTGATTTGTGAGTGCATGTACCTTTTGTGTTCTTGAGACTGCAAGCTAAGAGAGTTTCGGATGCCTAAATATGAAGCTAGAACTGAAACACTTCGGTCGACTAAGGCTATCAAGTATGAAAAATGAGTTCGTGAGAAAACTTCGTGCAAAGAAGTGCCACTGAAGCTGGTTTATATTAGGAAAACTGGAGGACTCATGTGAAATACCATGGCAGGGAATTCTTTCTACCTCTGCCTTTCCAGCCTTTGTTCAGGGTAAGCATTGCTAGAAGATGTTGAACTTTACTGTGTGTTCCTTTCTGAACCTGCTGTTTTGAGGAAAAGAGAATAATACCCATGTGCATGGGAAAAATACAGCCCCTCTTTGGCAGTACTTTTCTCAGTAGTAATGGCTGTCCTGCATGTGCTGTCAGAACAAGAAAAGCTTGAGAGGAAATAGGTGCCTATCAGTAGAGATGAGCAATGGCTAAATTCTAGGTTTGCAGTTTATTTGGTGGTCTCAAAAATTCCTGTTTGGTTGCTAAGTATCTTAAGAATTGACAAAAGGACTTCATTTTTTCACACGTGTATGTATACATACAACAATTTTAATGGTCCAGTGAATGGCAGGCCCCCTTGGACTAACAAAGATGCAATAAGCACAAGAATTCTGCTTGCCTGGAAAAAAGGTGTTTGAGATGGAGATTCAATCATCAAGGAGTTCTTTCAAGAAAATTTCAGAGGGAAAGCCTCATTTTTCTGGGTTAAAAGGAGCAAGATCAGACTCCTCTTTCTTCTAGCTCCAGGAATTTTCTTGGTAATACTCGAAACAGGAGAATGAATCCCTGATTAAGACAGTCTCCAGGCAGATCAGAGAACAGAAATACTTAGTAATCTCTGATCTTTACGAGTGCCTAAAAGCTGCGTCTCCCAATGCATCTGAAAGAAGTGCAGTCATGTCTGAGATTTTCAGTATGTGATATATCTCACAAGGGACTCTTACAGGCCTTTGAAGTAGCTGGAGGAGGGGAATTGGGTTGGTTTCACATGTTCATGCCAAATCTCATGGTAAGTAGAATTTGAGGTTATGAGATATTGCAGTATACATATTATGGAACACTGTAAATAATGGTCTGAACAGGTTTTTTTGCCTGCGACTTTTCAACTTGGGATCAAATTTCCTTCTGTTCCCTGGCAAGTTCTGCTGACCACCTCTTTTTCACATGCACCTCCTCTAATCTTCAGTGATCTTTTTCTTCTGGAGGAGCAGTGCTGTGTGTTTCACCTCTAAATGACTGTGAGACTCTTCCCTGCTTGCCAAAATTGTTTAAATTAATTGTCACCTATGGATGAGCAAGCACAGACAAATAAAATGTCTTTTTACTTTGTGTCATTTCTTTAGGAAAGTAAAGTTTGAAAAAAAAGAAGCCCAAAACACAGGTTGGAAAATTAAACTCCTATAAATTTGGAAATTCATGGATGTAAATTATTCAGGTGGTTGCCAGAATTGGATCTGAATTGGCCCCTTGTCTTGCTGTTGGACATGGTGGAAGGAAGTGCATACAGATTTGCGTGCTTCAGTTGGTTATCTGTGTAACAGCAAAGTATACATTCAGTCTTCTCTCAGAGGCTTTCATTATATTTCAACTGTCATAGCACACACATGCCTTCTGTGAATACATAGATGTACAACGATATTGTCTTTCATGTGTATGAGCTAGGTCAGCCTGGAGTCCAAGGTATTTACTAATTCCCGAAATATATGGACTTTTTCCAGTGTTGCTGAGGAAGATGCTGTTAGCTGAGCACCCAGCCTTGTCTGTACTCTGATGAGTCTAGAAACAGGTCTTCTGCATGGAAAATTTCACCTCCAGTGTAACTAGAGCAGATCTAAGCACCTGAAAACAAGGGCATACAATTCCTGGGTTGGAAGGATCTTCAAGATCATCTTGTTCCAACCTTCCTGCAGGTCACAGAAGCACCTGTCACTAGACCAGGTTGCTCTGAGCTCCATTCATATCCACTGGTCTTGAACTCTCACAGGGTTAGGGCATCCACAGCCTCTTTGGACAGCCTGTTCCAGTGCCTCCCCACCCTCACAGTAATGATTTTTTTTCTGATATCTAATCTGAATCTACTCTCTTTCAGTTTGAAGCCAATCCCCCTTGTTCTGTTACTACAGCTCTTGTAAAATGTCCCTTTCCGTGGTTTTTGTAGGCTCCCTTCAGGTACTGGAAGGCTGCAATTAGGTCACCCTAAAGCCTTTTCTTCTCCAGGCTGAACAACCACAGTTGTCTCAGCCTTTTCTTGCAGGAGAGGTGCTCTAGCCACCTAACCATCTTGGTGGCTTCCTCTGGACTCAGTCCAACAGGTTGGTGTCCTCCCTCTGCTGGGGACCCCAGAGATGCAGCATTGCAGGTGAGGTGTCACCAGAGCAGAGGGACAGAATCACTTCCCTCTCCCTGCTGCCCACGCTGCTTTGGATTCAGCCCAGGACACAGTTGGCTTTCTGTGCTGCAAATGCACATTGCCAGGTCATGTCTGGCCTCTCATCCACCAGCACTCCCAGGTTCTTCTCAGCAGGGCTGTTCTCAGTCCCTTCATCCCCCAGCCTGTATTGACAATGGGGGGTTGCCCCAAGCCAGGTGTAGCACCTTGCACTTACTAAATCTCATGAGATTCCCAAGGGCCTAGGAAAAAACGGTGTTAGACTTGCCTGTCATTGTGGCTGCCCATTCTCTCATCTGGCCATGGAAGTACTGGTCCGTGGATTCTCTGCAGAAGCTGGAGCTGGAAACAACAGTGAAACAGTAAGCTGGAAACAAACAGCTTGTTTCCTCTAAAGATATAGGTCAGTTAAAAACCGGTGCTGGTTTGCATGAGTAAACTTTGAAGCTCTCTCCCCCACCCCCACAAGTATTAGACATATAATTTAAGTTAGTGGTGAGAATCAGGTGAGGTTTTCTAAAGTGTCACTTGGTGGGAAAAAATACCATGTAGTGCTTTTGTATAGGAGTCTATTCTTTAAACAAAACTTGCAGTTCATTATTTTAAAGAATATTCTGTAGATAAGAGACATGCTTTCAAACGCCAGCAGGCCTTAATCAAGCTTAGAATGTTAGGCTGTATTTAGGGCCAGCTGATTCACAGACAGAAAACAACTGTGGTATTTTATACACAAAGCAGTTGAGAACCAAGCCCAGAGCTGAGCATCAGAGTATTGGTACACTCTCAGTGATGCTGTAGTTGAACAAGTATTTTCTCAGAAGGCAGTTGGTTTCAGCATCTCTGCTTCATGCTGTTCCTCAAGTTTTAGTGCTGCAGTTCTTCCTGCAGCTGTTTGATCATTTGAAGTAAAAATGCCTTGGTAGAGTGGTGGGGGGAAAAGTGGTGTTTCTTTAAAACTGAGCCTGCTTTCCAGTGTGGTTTACTGCCTAAGTCAACAAGTAGTTAAGTCTATCAGAGACGAGACAGGATAAAAGAGGCACTGAGTTTACTTCAGCCCACAAAACCGACAGACTGCCTGCAGTTAGATGTCCGTGGGCTGGTGTGTCCCAGTCAGGTTGCGGGTCTCAAAGCAGGGGTTTTCTTCTACTGTGCTGCTTTAGACCTGTCTGTACCACTCATAAATTGTGGAAATACTGAAGCAGAAGAGCAGTTCAGCTTCACCTGCCATTTCAGCTTACTCTGACATCCAGGTTTCCTTGACTTGACTCCTTGGAAGGCAGGAAGGTCCTGGTTTTAAAATTATATCGTGCCTTGTAGCAAAACCACTGGAGTGCTTATGTTGCCTGTGCAGACTTCTTGCATGTTTTTGAATAGCTTGTTGTAATGAACCTCTTGGACTGTGTGCAGTGTGTATTTTTTTGTTTTAATGAGGTATTTGCCTTGCAGCTCAGGAGTTGTGTCTGTAGCTGTTTCCTGCTCAAGCTGTGGGGCTCTGTTGGGTTTCATGGGGATTTTGCTCCAGAGACCATGCAGAAGCCAGGATCTTGGCCACTGCATTTTTTTCTTGCCCAGCCTGCAGCTCTGATCTCCGGTTTGCTGGCTGACCATGAGCAGTGGACAGGAAGAAGACACAAATTCCTGGAATCCCTCTGCTGCATGGAGGGAGATGTGCCAGTGGACAGAATTGTACTCAATTACTTTATAGTGGCCAGGCAAATACTCTTTTAAAGAAATGTCTTTTAAGCAAAGCTAGAAAGCAAAATGGTTTTCTAGAAACCAGAATGCAGAGCCCTAATCTGACTGCAGGTGACTGTTGTACTTGGGGAAGGGAGAGGCTTGTCATCACATTTTGTGTGCTGAAGTATGTTGCCAACCAGATGCCAGCCAGCTTCTCTCCAGCCTCACCTGACCATAGGGCAGGAGCCAAACTTGTCTGTCCATTCCTCAGAGTGGGACTGCAAATGCATTCTATGAATAAGTTGTTCAGGATTGCTCTCTCTTTATTTAATAAAATCAAAAACTGTTCACATGTATTATGAAATAGCTCAAATGGAGGTAGCCCAAAGTGCAGTAGTAGAGAAGCAGCACTTTCTTTGAGTGCTTCAATATTAGTGGGATGGCAGTGAGAATAAGCAGAATGAGCACTAGTCATGGATTCAGTGTCTTGTGTAATCACCTCTAGAGTACCACTGAAGTCCAGTTACAGCACTCTGCCAACTTTGGACTTGTAAGATTCCTTCGTCCTTATTGTTAAACTAAAACATAGAAACCATTCACTAAGGGTTTGAAAACCTAGTTTCACAGATTTGTCACGCAGATACTAGCTGACTGATCTTCTAACCCTGGCATGTTTATATATATGTGGTCACATGATGCAGATAAAACAACATGTATGACTATAGTTGAATATTAAGATTGACTGCTCTCCTATTCTGTGCAGCAGTGAAGTCCTAGAAATATAGATGACTCCTAAAATCTGCCTAAAAACTGTCTTGATGTAGTGCATATGGACAAAACAGAACTACTGATTAAGTTGAGCAAGATTTTTGTTGCAGAAACTGTGCTCTGGCTCAAGAATCATACTAAAACAGGCTAGTTTTACCTGCTGCTGGGAGAGTTGCTGTTGGTTTGCTGTGGTTCTTTTAATGGAAGTAGAGTTGAGGTGACATTTGTGCCTCTTCAGTTTGCTGCTTTTATTACTTCAACCTTTATTAGGGACTGTAGAGACACATCTTTTTTTTTCTCCCTGACTGTTCTTGAGCATATATTTTGGGTTATGCCATTAATTTTTCATTCTCACCCATTTCTTTTTACTTCTTGCAGTTCTCGTGTGGTTGGTTGTTGAAAATAAGCCTACGCTGCAGGAATGCAGAAGAAGCAACAGCCTGAGGTAGGGCTTGGAGATGAAGTTTGTATCTCAGTACTATTGCAGGGAAGGTCAAGACTGTATAAGCCAGGTGCTTCCACTCATTTTTGGACAAGTTCTGCAAAGTCTTAGGACTGAGAATGCCAGCGTGAGACCGCTTTAAAACAGGGGTGGAGACCCGGGATAGAGTACTATTTTTCTTGGTACATTTAGGTTATTTTCAGGTTCTCTTTCCCTCCAATTGCAAAAGCTAAAATGCGTCTTTTCTATTATTCTGCTTTCAAGTGAGGAATTGCATAAAATAGCCTAAGCTATGAGATTAAACCTTTAGGCGGAAAAAGATTTTGTGACTAAATTACAGAAATTGATTATATATGAATAATCTCATTGTACATGACTGAAGTTCCTTGCCAAATTAAACTGAGATGCTTTTTCTATCATTTCTATTCCTTTTCTTCTCCTTTCATATTCACGTGTCTCAAAACCTTTTTCTGGTATAATTGGTGAAGCTCAGGAAGTTTCTCTTATGAAGTATAAGAACGTCAGTTATTTTGTCCTGTTAATAAAAAAAAGAACAACAGATTCCTAATGTGGTGGCTTAGTGCAGTGCTCATTGCAGTGTTGTGATGACAAAGCCAGCATAAGTGACAGGATTAATTCCATATGTTACAGATGGATAACTTTTTCCAAAATATTGTTGTGACTAGACTTAAAGTATGCAAGCAGTAGAGGCAAGCCATATGTTGTGATCAAAAGCTGAGCTGGTGTTAAATTAGATTTGTGAATGTAATTGCAATTTGCAGTGTAATTGCAGTTTGCAGTTGACAATGAACAGACTTTTTTGCTAGTGAAAGGATGATGTGTTGCTGTGAATATTTTAAACTTTGCACTGTAAAGCTGTAGTATTTTTGAGTTTACTCCATGAAATATATCATACATTTTTTCTTGCCTTCAGTGGGGCCATGGTAAGACACTCAGGATTTATTTTCTTAAAATTCCTGTTCGGCATAATGGAATACAAGAAGAAAATAATTACTCTTGTAGAAAGCTCTTAACGATTCGATATGCTTTTTACAGCCTTGCTTTAAACCTTACCAGGTTAAGTATAAAGTAAAGAAACCAGTCATTTCACCTAAAAAGCTGACATCCATCAGGAGAGGTTGGCTGCCTGCTTGCTGACTCATTAATATTGTCTTTCCTTTGGGAAGTACTTAAAGGACGCTGGATTCTCATCCTGTCTCTAATTTTTTGACTTAATGTTGTTCAGAAATTCCAAATTCTTCCAATAATCAACCTGAAGATACTTTGAATTAAGATAGTTGCCTGAAGGTAGTTTAAAATTTAGCTTTCCCTTACTCCTGAGTCTTTTCTGCAATAACTCTGCCACTCTCACTTGAATGACATCGGCTGAATGAATGGAATTGTTTGAATTCTATGCACAGGTTTTAAAACTTACCAGTTAATTAAAAATAAGAAAGGTTTCTGTTAGCCAAAGACCTGTATCATATACTTCTAGGGATAACATCTAAGAATCAGTCTTTGGGAATCTTTTCAATTGACTTCTGTTCCTTTAGAGAGCAAAACTCTGCAGATGCCTTTTATCTTTTTGACTTTGATTTGATATGTATAAAGTAATCATGCACATGAATTTTCTAAGATTTGATGTGCATACTGTGTAATTGCCTTATTCCAACAAATACTTGGCCTGACTCTTCTAGAATGGATGTGTTCAGTCTTGTGAGTACTGATTAACTTTGTCAGACTCCCAACATACTAATGCTGACTGTTAGTTGAGTCAAATGGTATAAAATAATCAGTGCACATTTTAGTTTTCAACACAGAAAGTGCTGTAGTAATGTTAGAGATAAGTTTGTTCTTTTTATTTGGAATCACATGTATTTTAAAACTCTGTGTCAGGTATAAATATTATCTCTTAAAATAGGCATGAAGTAGTTCATTTTTTATATGTTCTCATACTCAGGCAGCTAGGAAAAAAATAGTTGTAAAACTACAGATGCTTTGAACTGTGACACTTCCTAAATTATTTACTTGCTTGAATATTATTAGTAGGTTCAAATTGAGCAAACTCACAAAGGGAAAGATGTATTAAAACATTTCATTGTAATTCCCAGCCTCGTTTTGATTTTGTTTCATACAGGCTGCTGCAGACCCAATGTCGTCCTCTGATGCACCAGAAGATGGCCCAAAGGAAACGTCAAGTGTATCACAGAATATCTGTATGTTTCTGGTTTGACTGGGGAGGGTGTGTCATACTGGAAGGGTATTAAACTAAATGTCTTTGCCTTTTCCTTTCCTAAAAAGGACAGGGCTGTTAGCAAAAAAGGGATGTGCTAATAAAGTCGTAGTTGATTTAGTCTGTTCTTGATTTGTTTCAAGGCCCAGTTGTGTAAATCAAATGCAGAAAGAGCAATGACATATCGATTGTCAGTTTGCTGATCCCATACTTTCAAAAGTAAATATTTTTAGACTTAACAGATACACTCAGCTATTGTTTTAAGCTCAGTTATTGCTTTGTAAGCCAGTGATGCATAAATGTGTTTGCTTTTGACAGTCTGGCATCTAGTAGTATGATGTCGATCAGTTGACCCAAGTGGAATGCTTTGCCCATGCTAGCATGATAATATTTTGGCAAGCCTGCAGGATGTGGCAATAAAAGTACTCCGACCAAAACTGTCTTGTGAAACCCAGGAAGTGTATTTTCTTACCTGTTATGGGTGAGATCAGATAATGACAGGCATTTCTCAAGAGGAAAAAACAAAGGCTTCTTAGAATTTGCTTTATGTATATTGATACACTGTTGTAATATTAATGTATACAGTGCTAATTTGTAACAATAGGAACATTCAGAGTGTGCTTTCTGGCAAATAATAGTTTCTGAACCACCATAGGACAAATTAGTGTGTAACAGCAACACTGCTGAATAATTCCTAGGGATCTTAGCTTTCATAGGAGCAAACAGAGCCTTGACTGAAGCTATGAAAGGTGTAGGCAGACCTAAAGAAGCAGATTAATTTTTTATGTTGTTTTTTTTCTCCAGATATAGAACTCGGTTCAATAAAAACCATAGCTGCTCCTGAGTTTTCCTTAATTGCGTCCTTAAATTATAACATCTGATACTGTACCATTATTGCATTTTTTCTTCACATGAAGCATTATTCAATCCAATACTGCGTATATGTGTGAGGTGAAAGCTTGAAAAATAAATAGAAATTACACCCTTTACGGGTTACAAAATATATAGAAACCACTTTCAACTGGGGGAATCTGAACCATAAGTGGCTTTAGGCTAGGAAAGTATTTGAGACAGGTATTACACACACTTCCCCATGTATTATATTCTCCATTAGGCATCCACTTTTGACTATAGTGGGAGGCAGGATATTTGTTTAGGTGGGTTTTTGTTGATCTGCTATGGCTGCTTTTATAATCATGTGACTGAGAGTGCTACAAATGCAACAGGCTTACCTCTTCCTTTTTCAGTCCTTTTTCTTGCCTCCTCCTTAGCATCACCATTTGTTTTGGCCACAACAATTGTCTTAGCTCAGACAGTACTGATTACAATATACCATGTTCTTGGGTATTGACCATGAAGTAGTAGGTTGATAAAATGCTAAGAAAGATGTTGAAGGGTTGCTTTTGGTTTATGAGTTTGGGTTTCCTCTTTTGTTTGGTTGGTTTTCTTTTAATTTGGTTTTTGTTTGGTTGGTTTTGGTTCAGAGTTGTTTTCTTTTTTTATGTAAAGTCTTACAAGATTAGCATTTGTGGGACAGAACTGGGGCCAGAGCCACACAGTTAAACCAGATTCATAAAATGAATGTGTGGTAGGAGGTTGTAATTTATCTGCTTCTTTGACATCCTGCCTACAAACTGTTCACTAATCTTTTTTTTTTCCCCTGGGCTTATGATCCTATTCCAGGCTTCTGGAGACCACTTGAGACCTCTGCTAACTTGTGCAGCAGCTTACCAGAGAAAGAGAGTTGGTTGGAAACAAAACTCTGCTTTCCTGCTCGATACTTTTTTTTTTCCTTAAGATGTGTTAGAGCTTAAAAATGGCTCATTCAAAGTGACTTTAATTTCCCATTGATGTAGAGTTAAAGCTTCTCTGTCTCAGTCAGTGAGGCTGTCTGGCACTTAACGGAGCTGATAGATCCTCCTGTTTTCAATATAGCAAGCATGTCAACATAGAGGAGCTAAACTCACATTGTACCATTTTGATCTTAAATAGCTGTTGAATCTAGTGAAGAATGATTAGATTCCTAACCTAAATACCTCTTGAGTTTAATTTTCCTTTCTGTACTGATCCCTGGTGTGTTAATCACAGAAAAGGCTAAGATCGGTACTGTAGATATCCTGTATGTGCCAATATGTGCAGGTGACTTTGCCATCATATTCACACCAGTGTCCATGTGTTGCTATCATTTATATAGATAAGAATCCCAAAATGGAACACTTCGCATTTAGAATTTTAAAAATGCTCTTTTTTTTTCTTTTTTTTTTTTTCTCTAATTTAGTGTATACCTTTTCTAAGTATTCTTTGCTTCTCTGTCCACCTCACCTGCCACACAGCTTCTCTCTTTCCCTTACTGAACTGCGTGGACAGCCTGTCCCAGTGTCCACAGGGTAGGAAACCTGGACTGAGACCCATGCTTGGAGGCAGCCTCTCCAGTGATGGCACTCTCAAAGATGTAGCTTCAGAATTGAATGTAAGATTACAGTGGTAAATCAATGGCCTTTTAGCTCTGCTCTGCTGTTTAGTGGCGACATTTTTATTTTCTGTCTTACTTACCTGCACTTTATATCATGTGTGCTTTTCTCTCCTATTTTTCTTTACATTTATAGCTGATGCAGATGCATTTAAAATTCTACTGGAGATGAAGCTGAAGAAGAGGCAGAAAAGACCTGCTTTACCAAGCACTGTGACTGAGCTTGACACTGAGGATGGTTCTAAAGTATATGTGGTTGGAACAGCCCACTTCAGTGACAGCAGCAAAAAGGATGTAGTAAAGGTAAATACTCAGTGTGAGCTCTTCAGCAGCATGTTCATAGTGTTTCAGCTTAACTGAACTTCATTTTACTTACTGCTATCTGACTTGGCTCTGTGCTGTAACCTTCAGGCTCTGTTTTTTCTAGTTAGCTGTTGGAGGGCTAACAGCACTAAAGGCAGACGTTACAGTAATAATTTTTGATGCAATACATTGCTCTCCCAGCTAAAATATTTTTATTCGCCCTTCAATAAAAAAGGCAGATACAGCCCCAGTGTTGAAAGTAGAAATCTCACTAGTGAAGCTTAAGTTGCCTGGATAGTATTTGGCTATAAAACCATGCCACACAAAACTTGGATTCCATTCTCAAGCTGCAAATACATCTGAAGCCCTAGTGCAAGTAGGAACTATTTCATATGGTACCTCCTGCAAACTGTGCAGTTTAGAGTGGCTTTATTCAGGAGCTAGAGGGAGAGGAATCTTGTAAGAACTAGGGTTGACAATTCTAGCACAAAGTGTATTCTAACTCAGATTGCAAAATACCACAGAGTACAGTCAAATTAATTTTGTGAATGTGAAAAGTTTAACATGAAGTGTGTATTCTCTGCTCCCCTTCCCAGCACAATATGTCCCAAAGCACCCAGTAACTAAGACATTTTTGCTGTCACCTTCTTTAATGTTTTTGTCAATGCATAGTTATTTGGAGAACTGTTGTTTACTATTCTACTGTTTTTTAATTGAAATGATTATTGGAATGTGCTTTTAACGTCTCTTTTCTCTTTAAAGTGTTGATGTTGGCTGCATTTCTGTTTATTTCCTTCTAAAGCAGTATAAATAAATACATCTTTTTCAGACGATACAAGAAGTGCAACCTGATGTAGTTGTGGTGGAACTGTGCCAGTACAGAGTTTCTATGTTAAAGATGGATGAAAAGACATTACTAAAAGAAGCCAAAGAAATAAATCTGGAAAAACTTCAACAAGCTATAAAGCAGGTATGATTCCTACAGTGGGAATTTAAGGCTTATGTTAAGACCAATTTGTCAAATTGCAGTCAGAACCATTGTTCCCACTAGTTGGGAACCTAATACTGTTGATGTAGGTGAGACTACTATTACAGTGGCAAAGCTAGGTTTGGGTGTTTTTTTGTGTTTTCAGATGTAGCATTGAGCACTTTGTTTTCACAACAGGATTGGTAGGGCAAATTGACCTTGACAAGAATCCGCCTGCACTTAACAGCTGCTCCATTTGCAGGACATAAGTATAACTTTGCATTCCAATGCTCTGCTAATATATTTAAATATTATTAGTCCTGCAATCTACCTCTGTGTCACAACTATTTAAAGAGCATTTAATTTTGGTATTTTCTGTTTAGTTGCATTCCATCTTCATCTTAGTGTGTTGCTCTTTATTCCTACTTATCGATTTGTGTTTTGAGTAGTTTCTAATTGACCATAGGCCCTGAAGGGGTATTCTGAAAAATTTGGGCTAAAAAGTGTGGGATTCTATTCGCATTATAACTACTCTGGGAGTTTGATGTGGACATGTCTGGATGTGTGTGCAAAAAATAAGTCTTGTACTTTTTCAGTTCCACCTAGCTAGCTTGCATTTAAGTAATATTAGGCTAGGCGCAGTGAAACAGCACAAAGCTGACTTAAAAATGACAGGACACTTGTTTAAAATGGCAGTGCATGGTTAATAGTAAAAAGAGTTTCTGTCCAGTTGGATGAAGAAATTCATTGATTGTTCTTTTGATTGTATGGTAACTGTATATTGCAATTGCTTTATTGATGTAATTGGGGAATTTCCAGGACTGCACCCCCATAGGAGCATAATCTGCATGCATGCAGAAGCACTTGCAGTGGCTTGGGGTTATGCAGTGTGTGTGCTCAGGGCAGGCTTTCTGACTCACAGAGTTAGGCAATAATGCATCTTTCCAGTTTTCTTTATTTATGCCCTATCAAAGGGAAAGACACTGCAAAACACTTGCATATTGCATGAATTGCTGCATCTGTTTATCTTAGTTAAGGTGGATTATTCTGATGCATGTAGCCAAAATGCATGTTCACAACAGCTGGAACAAATATAGCTGGGGGTCTTCTGACCATGTGAACAGGCATAGAAACATTTCTTTCTTTATATCAAAGCTAAATGCAACAGTTTTTGATGTGTTAAGAGGAAAAGGACAATGAAAACAAAATAGCAGACTTTTTTTTCTCTGGGATGTAAACTCATGTTGTCAACTTAGCAGTTACTACTTCCTACCAGGGCTTGAAGTGATCTTGTGTGCAGACAGAAGAAAACACACACTCTCTTGGCTCCAAAGTCAGAGAATACTGCAAGAATCCTTCCTATTCTTACAGCCCAGTATTAGTCTCCTTTACTTTATTTGCAAGAATAATGCAAATAATAAAATTTGAGCATTGGGCCTTTTAAAGAACATATTTCTCTATCTATGGTCTCAACCAAAAAAATCCCCCAACCTTTCCCCTTTGAATCACTAACAACATGGATTGTATAGGGAAAACCAGAAAGAACAATCCAACTGTCTCATGCCAAATTATTGTGTCTTTGTTTTTCTCTGAGAAAAATCAGACCAGTTGGTAAGTTACTCAGTTATGCTTTAGTTTCTTCTTCTCATTGAAATGAGGTAGGCCCAAAAGCTACACTAAAAGACAAAGCTGCTTTCAGCTTTCATTCTTGAGTTTGGAAATGAGGAAAAAAGCCCAAATAGTGTCTTTTTATAATCACTACATAAATATTGAGCACTAAAATTGGATTTCATTGTTCTTAATTGAATCTGGAAACTGAGCAAAATGTTAGCATAAAATGTACATATTTGCAATGGGTGACTGGCATCCACAGCTTGTCAAGTAACTGCTTCAGGTTAAAACCAGACTTCGTTTAGCTCCTTCTTGAATTTCAAAACCCTTACAGTTGTGTACAGAAAGGTCCCTGTTTGCTTTCCATTAAGCAAGACAACATAGTGCAGACTGCTATCTGGCTCAAATGTGGATAACCTGGAAATGTGCAATAAGAGTTGGCTTAAACCAAACTGGTAAGACTTCTCCCTGGTTCCACTGTCCCTTCTGTGTCTATACCATGGCCCTATGACAGTTTGAGTAGGGGTTGGGTTTTTGCTACATCATCTCCCAGTGGCTGTAAGATTGCTGCTCTTGGCAAGAGGGGCAGTTGAGAAGCCTTCCTCTGGGGACAGAAGAGAAAGTGAGCTAGTGACAGCAAAATCATAGCTTAACCTCTTTTTGTCTGAAGTTCCCTGTGGAGGACTATATTGTAATGTTGGTTCTGGCTTTTGAAGAAAAGCTCACCTTTGCACTGTGTAATACAGCCCCCCATGTTTAGGTAAACCACAAGGATAGTCCTCTTAAATAAAATGGATATAACATGAATGGATAGATGATAGGTACATCCACATGGACAGGAGCAGGCTGCTGTTCACTTGCTTCCTTCACTTGTGTTTTGAAGGCTAACCTCTAGTGGTCTTGCAGCAGTAGGAAAACCAGCTCCAGGTGTCAAGGCTGTGCTGCCTTCCTTCATGGGAATGAGGGTTTTTTAAAGAATTGTGAATGAAAGTTCACATGGCTTGTTTCTGCACTTGGTGCTGGATCAGTGACTTATGCAGTCAAAGAGTAGCTCCAAGGCCCCCTGCATAGGCTGTGTTCCCATACATAGTATAGGAAGTATTCTTTGCCTGGCTATTGCTCTCTCTTCCTGCCCTTTTCAGTGTCTCTGTGCTAGTTGTGTGTCCAATAGTGTATCTTTCCTCAGTCATCCTTTCCCAAGCTTCACGGGTATTTAGTATGTTTAATCTCTTCTCCTATGTTTGGTATTTCTTTGCACATTTTCTAGTCAAAGTATCTTGTTTTCAAGGCAAGAGTCTGCTAAAGATAGTACAGCAGTGCTTTCATGTTTTGCTATTGTTCCTTTCCCAGTAATCTCTTACTCTTCTTGCTTTCTGACTGCTATTGAACATTGAGCTGATAAAATTGGTGGTTTTCTTTCTCTTTCCTGTGTGCTTTGCATCCCTCTGCCTGTGCAGTTAAATTTCTTTACACTTGTGCATTGCTATGTTTATTTATGGCTGTTGCATCTAATCTACAAAACCATTGCCATCCACTCAGGATTTAATGTTCTTTTGTGGTTAGCTTTCCTTGAAACAACACTGAATAATCTAGTATAGATAATAACCTTCTTTACTGTTTTGCTCTCATCATTTTTTGTACACTCTTCTTTTTATCCCCCAGCAGTATCTGGCTGGCCAGTTGTTGCTGGCTGCTACTATATACAACTTTTGTCACTCTATCTCTTTCATACTAAACAAATATGGCAGGCACTAAGGTTCATGCAGGTTAAGAGCACAGACAACTTGGAAACACTTCAAAGATGTATCCCTCTGTTAGCCAACAGGATGAATCTTCCTCTGACAGTGTAAAAATACAACTTTAGGTGCATCAATCCTGAAGGAGAGATCAGCCAGGCTGCATTATCCTAAGATTTTTGGGATGCTGTGAAATCACTTTTTCTCCTGTTTCTTCCTTGGCTCTCCCCAGAAGCCCAGCACTTGACTTTCTTCCATGCTTGCTAGTTTGTTATACGATAAAGCAGGTAATAAATTTGCTTTGAAAATAACCCCTCTCTTTTGCCAGTTCTGGTCCTCAGTGACTCTTGAGTCCATTTAATGGCACAAACCCACCCACAGCCTTTGGAGAGGTCACACAAGCATTAGATCCTGGCAAAGGGTGGATCATTTGATCAAGGAATGGAGACCAGGATCTTTCCCTGGTGACTTATATTAAGTCAGGCTATCCTATGTAGCCTCATCTTCAGCTGCACGAAGCTGATGATATAGCAGGAAATGAGCCTTTGTTGAGAGAAGGGGCAGACCCCCTTTTGGCAGAATTATAGTCTGATGGCAAGTTAGAGGAAATGTGTAACCAAGGTGCAGGTTATGCTATGGGACAGGTAATGTTGATTCTTTGAGTCCTAATTATAAAAGTAACTTGTTGAGGGCAGCCAGAGCTGGACGGAAGGTATGGATTTGAGATTTATTTTCATTCTTTTTGTAAAAGGTCAGGGAAGGAAAATTTTGCTTAGGTATACATAGGAGAATTCTTTCTCAAGACAAGAGTTTTGATTTTAAGTCTAGTTCAAAAAAGCAATAGAGAGCTTTCAATCTCCTTGTAGGACTCACTCATACTCAGGACTGTGAGGTCTCTTTTAAGATCTTGTGTTCCAAAAGCATACACTGGAACTTCTTGTACAATGTTAGATTCGCTGTGTTTCTTCATCTAATCAGTCTTCAACCTAGTGTTTTTCACAATTGTAGACGTTTCTGGGATTAGACCACTGGCTATTCACTTCAGTATTTCTAGGACATGGCATTCACTGTACATTTAATGTAAATGCTCCTGTGGTCCCTTTATTTTTTTGTATCTGATATGTCAATAAAAATTAAATGCACAGTATGAACTGTTTAACCATTAAGTTATTCAGACACTTTCTTCAAGCAGAGTAAATATAGACTGAAATAAGTCTGGCTACCCTTCTTTATTTTCTTAACCTGCAGTGCATTTTTGTTGAAAGGCAGACTACTTTGGCCGCACAGTGAGGAAAATTAATAAAACTAATAAAAACTGAAATATGGCCTGTATTGATCAGTGAATTGGCTCCAAAATGTAGTTTCAGTGCTGTTTCTTCATTAAAATAATTAAGGTTTTTTTCACTTCTGTAAACAGTGCATTCTTTAGCCTGTTGACATTTTTTAAACACGTTTTTCTCTCTCTTCTGCCAGAACGGCGTCATGTCTGGATTGATGCAAATGCTGCTTCTGAAGGTTTCTGCTCACATCACAGAACAGCTGGGAATGGCCCCAGGAGGAGAATTCAGGGAGGCTTTCAAAGAGGTGAGAACTTGAACTGGCTTTTCTGAGGTCAGATTACTGGCCTTTTGCTTCCAGAGCTGAACTCAATAAAACTATTTTGTTATTGCCTAGAAAAGAGCACTCTGGCCATACCTCTGCAGAAGCCAGTGAAGTAGTAAAAATAATTTTTGACTTCAAACTGTACCTTAAGGTACAAAGATTCGTGATATGAGTTGTAGGAAAGCAATTCCTAAAAGGCTTCAAATGATAAGGCTTCTTGATGATATTCCTGAAGACATTTGTTTTCATTAATAATTTAGTTTCTTTTAAATAATTGTTTCTGAATTCTGGATATTGATCTTAGTCCCACTGTTGGTGGTGTCAGGATTTCAGGCTGTGAAAACCAGCTCTAAAGGATTAATGAGATCTGACACGTTCCATTTATCTACAAAGATTGGGAAAGTGAAATGCTCTGTCAACTGTTAACTAACTGGTGTGTTAGTCCTTTATGGTCTTTTGACATCACCTTTTGTACTGCTGCTGCCAGCAGTGATACCCAGAACTGAACAGTATTTGTGTTTTACACTACTCTTTTTTTTTTTTTTTTTTTTTTTTTTGTCTGGGAATACTGGGATACTGTTTTCTGTGTATGTATCCGTCTTGCAGAATGTATCTTGCTATTTTTATGGAAATTGTGTGTTAGTAAGGAAATCTGAGAGAACATTGCTGGTAAGCAATCTAAATTAATTTAGTGTATTTATCCTTAATAAAAAAAAAAAACTTCTTCAAGGTTTATTTTCTTGAGCATTCTAGACCAGAATTAAACCATTTTAAGTGGGAAGGAAAAAAAATTAGCTCTCTCCTATTCTAAAGCAATTGCTGGAACTTTTTAAAAAAACTATGCATAGGAAAGAATTTTCTAGAAATTCTGTACTGTGCTAAAATTTATGAGCATGAGCTACAGCCAAGTCTCACATTCTCACATGTTGTCTTCCATCAGTTATTGTCGCATAAGCTCTTTCTGTAATATATTTTACCATGACCAACTGTAAAATTGATGATCCTGACAAATCCTAGGTGAGAGCAAAATGATGACAGTTGGTTCGCCTCAGGCTTTATTCAGACCCAGACAGATATTGAGCCCTTTTGAAATAATAATCAGCAGCTTTCTGCTTCAGTAGAAGTAATTTCAAGGGTTTGGCATTACAATTTAATGTTTTTACTGTAATATCTGCTGCATTGTGTAGCAGATTTATTCCTTTATGAAGTTACGTAGAAAAATTTTGTAAATTGTATTTACTGCAAAGCCAAAATGTTGAAGTATGACAGTGCTTGCTCTTTTTTAAGATACCTTGTATAACACATATGTATAACGTTTGTTAATAAGACAGTGTTGTGCTGTAGTATGAAATGTTGACTAGTTACTTGTATCTTCTTTTTCAGGCCAGTAAAGTACCTTTCTGTAAATTCCACCTCGGAGACCGACCCATCCCTGTTACATTTAAGAGAGCAATTGCTGCGCTTTCCTTCTGGCAAAAAGTCAAGCTTGCTTGGGGCCTTTGCTTCTTATCTGACCCCATCAGGTATGAACAAGCACCCCATATATTTTCTGTTTGGGGTGGATTATTCAGTTCTTCAGTTTGACTTTAGTATGAGGGTACCCAGCTTGATGCAATGCAATTTGAAGTTAGTGAGAAGGATGAATATACAAACTATGCTGCAATAATGTATTTTTGAAGTGAAAGCTATCTTTCTGATTTTGTCATATCTTGCTTTAATTGTCTTTCAATGCATTACTTCCAGGTGAAGTGCAAGATAAGGTGCTGGAGAATTCCTAGTATACTCTAAAAAAATTCTTTAAATTATTATTTTTATGCAGAAAATAAAATCTTTTCCACCGCTGTGTGTGGCTCTTGTAAATAAGAGTAAAGGCCTCAGTACAATTTGTATGTTCTTAAGAGTTCCACATACAGCCATCAACATGAGATTCCATGGAAAATGGAGTAATAATTCAACATCAAAACGGTCAGTCTATTGATGTTTCTGGCTCTGTTGAAAGCTAGCATTTCTCCTTTAGCTTGCCGTGCTGATATTTGTAGTGCTCTTTTCATCTTGGAAACTAAAGGAAGCCTGTTTGACGTCATTCTTTAGTGGGCAGTGATGCCAAACCAGATAATTGCATTGCCACAAGCTGTGACCCACAGGTAGGGGTGCTAACAGAAAGGTTTGTAGCACCTATGAAAAGAATAAAAGCTCATTACGTTTACTCCTGCAATTCTTATTTTGTATTTCCTGCCTGTTTGTGAATTGGTTTATAACTTTGACTTCCCTGCTAAAGACCTGTGATTGATACTAGGAAGCTGCAGATCTCTTTCCATGTCCTCAGACTGTTCATTACATTGTGTCGTTTTTGTTCCTTAAGTAGAGTGTGTGTGTTGAGTGATCAGATCTGCTTCCTCAGAAGAGCTGTGTGTAGGCTCTTCTAAGCTTATTAATACACACTGAAAGTGGGGCACCATGGTAACTCCTGCCTTTGAAGCTCTAGTGGTTTTGCTGAGTTGAGTTGTCAGCTTCTAAGGTGGGAAGGGAGAAAATCCAGTTGAAATTACTAAAGGCAAGTGACCTCTTTTCTTTCCCTTTCCTTCACTATAGAGCCATTGTTAGGTATCAAGTTTTACAGGTTTATGGACGTTATTTTCCTTCTGGAGAGGAAAACTGGGGGAGGAGAACTGTAGACTGTGTTTAGGTGTAACACCCAATTGTTTTTATTCATTCGTTTCTATGTGTTGACCTTTAAAAGCATAACAGATACTGAGAACTTACCTTTCTTTCAGTAAAGATGATGTGGAGAAATGCAAACAGAAGGACTTACTGGAACAGATGATGGCAGAAATGATTGGAGAATTCCCTGATCTTCATCGAACTATTGTCTCCGAACGAGATATTTACTTGACCTACATGCTGAAGCAAGCAGCAAAACAGATAGAACTACCTCGAGCTTCAGAAAGTAATTGTTTTAAAGCAGAGATTATAACCAGCAAGGTGTTCTTTGTTTACTGGTCCAAAGTATAGTTCTCAGGAAATCTGGGATGTTCTGTTCATGAATGCCGTATGTCACATAAGATACAATGCTTGAAAAATTGAAGAGGAGTATTAATCTCCTGTTGAAACCACCTAGAGCAGTAGACTCTAAATTATGCTTCCTCTCTCATTATGCTATTTAAAACTGGGAAGTACTAATTAGCCAGGCAACTACTTCAAAAGGCAGGGATCTGGTATGACAGCACAGTATGGGACAGTCATCTCTCACTTGCCCCATTATCTCACCAAATTCACTGTTGTCACTGGCTGCTGAGGGACTCACTTCTTGATAAGTTAATTCTCTGATTTTAGTACTCTTCGTAGGTTTTTTTATAATTATAAATTGGGCTACTAGGAACTTTGATCTGGCAGTAATGATCACATGTGACTGCTGTTTCAGCAAAATATTGGCATATAGAAAAATAGTATTCGTCTGATTTTTCTAAGTATTCTGCTGGCATATGTAATCTGAATGCCCTTCCTATAGGTAAGCATACTGAAGTATGCTACCTCTTACTTAATGTCTGAAGAATATAGTGTTTATCATTGCTTTAGTGCAGAACTTCTGTTGCAGTTCTGTTTTAGAGCAACCCTAGAATAGACTGAGAGAAAGAAAATTTAGAAAAATCAATTGATAAATATGTGTAATAGTTCTAGTGTTTTCAATACAGTTTTGTTCCATTTTGAGGTGGGCTGCTCTTCACAGTTTTACTTTTTTTTTCTGGAAAAATCAAGGGTGGATATTTAAAGCAAAACAGTGGAACTTGTATTTTATATGTACGTATTATGTAGAATTTTCCCCATAGGAAAACAGCCTGGTCGTTATTCCTTAGAAAGCTTTTTGTGAGTTATTTTTATTGTGGCATGGTATTGTATTTTTCATTGGGGAAAACTTCCAGAAACCACATTTCAGTTGTTGTGAAATTTGGGTGGTAGATGGGAGGTGAGGGTGTGAGCTGGCATTGGTCTGATGGTAGCTGGCTAATTGCTGGATGTTACTGCCTGGGTTTGCTGTTGCTGAGGCCAGGTCTCTAACAGGGAACTTCACAGGATCAGACGTGGTCTCAAGCACTGTTCTACAATTGTGAGCCCAAATCTTGTTAACACCTTGTGTGCCAGGTGCCACTTCCAAAGTGGCAGAGAAAGTTCTCTGTTCAGGAGATAGCAAAGGCCAGGAATGTTCCTTATAAGCAGTACAGAAACATGACCTACACAGAGAAGGAAAGAAGTTAATTTAGCTTGCATCTGCTGAGCCTGTCACCCTGAGGTAGGAATATGAGCACTGGCCAGGTCTCTTTATTTAATAAATTATTCCTGAAAATACAGAAACTGTGCTGACTTTTTCAGACTTTAAATGAAAGAGACAGTAGGTGAGATGAGTATGTAACAACAGAGTTTCAATATCTGGCAGTAAAAGCCCCTATATCTTGGAAAAATCAATTTTGTAGTCTCACACATTGCCTATTTATTTACAGTTTGAAATTAGTTCTTTTACAGATATGTTCCTTTCTCTCCATCTCTCTTTTCTCAGATGAACCTAGAAAATATATCCCAGCTGTTGTAGTTGGTGTTGTTGGCATGGGTCATGTACCTGGAATTGAAAAGAACTGGAATTCTGACTTAAAGATCCAGGAAATAATGAGGTAACAGTTGTCCTTTCCTACATGTTGATATAACAGCTTCTCCTGCTAAAAACCTGCAGTTTCTTTGGAGTTTTTTTGGTTGGTTGTCACAGCTTGAAGAAGCATCTCTACTGTCATCCGTGCCCTGTCAGCTCACTGAGTTGCTGTGCAGTGCTTGCAGACTGTGCTTGCAGCAAAGAAAAAATATCAAAGATAAATAGTTGAATATGGAGGGAAGTAGAAATGAGAATATGCCATTTTCTAGAAAGAAAATGTATTGGTCCTCATTAAAGTCTTCGAAAATGAAAATTCAAATGAGGGCTGGAGAAGATGGTGAAAACAGAACAAGGCTTTTAGTCTAACTTGCGTAAATATAAATAATTGGATTTAAAGCTTTTGTTTTGTCAGGACACTGCTGGCTCTGGCAAGTTAGTGTTGCAGTTGCTTGTACCCTATTTTTAAGTTTATATCTAAGAAATTACTTGTTTTAATGTGTATACCTAACTAGTTATGAGCTGGTTTAAACCATGTATCTGTTGAGCTCTTGCTTCAAAGTACCTATTAAAATAGATGTGTGTCCTTTGTAAAAGACAATTGAAGAACCAGTGTTGAGACTATGTATATCCCATAAAGCCACAAAGGTCAGGACTTCAAAAAGACAGGAGAGATTATAATGCAGCCTAGTAGTATTGATCTGTGGTGCTTTAGGAATATACACTCACACTTTCCTTATCACATCTGTTTATTGTGTTTATGTAACCATCTCACCCATCTCTGTAGAGCCTATGAAAACCAGAAAAGACTGACATCCACATAAATGCTATATTTAGACATCTAAAATATAATTTAGAGAGACTTTTGTTCTCTGGATTCAAGAATGCAAAGCACAGAAGTTCTGCCTGGCTATTTATAACTATCTTGCACGGCTAAGCCTCACCTGGAGTCACAAACTAGATGTCCATATTCCTCTGCACCCTTGCAAATAACCTGTACAATGAGGTTGTCCAAATCCGTGTAGTTGTGTGGTGGCTGTTGATTGTATCCTTGACAACACAGAACTGAATAGGCCAAAGACCAAATGCATGTCTTCAAGCCTGCATAGATGCTTTCTCATCAAATTGTAGGCTCTGAATTGATTGTCTTTACCATGCCAGTGCCATAACTGAGCAGAAGAGCTACTAGTATCTTTCACAAGACATTAATACTGCATTAACTTGATTTTCTGAAATAACATGAAGCAAATGACATTCATAAGAGTGCTATATTTGTAACTTAGTTTTCTTTAAACTTAAGTAACAAGTAATGCTTCCTAGTCATTAAGAGTGACATAATGCATAAGTAGAAAAGGCTTTGTTTGTGTTTATTAATTTTTATTGTTATTTAATTGTGTGTAGCCCTTGAACTTGAATGAATACATTGTTCATTCATGACGCGTCTGTTACCTGAAAATTTCCTGCACTATAGGGAGGAAGGGGAGAAAAGATTTTTTTCAAGCAGCAAAAAATAAGCCTTCTGTTTCCAGCTATGCAAATATTAACATCGTTTTCTATCTTTTTTTCAGTGTGCCTCCTCCATCAGCTTCAAGTAAGATTTTGAAATTTGTTTTAAAAGCAACAGTTTTTGGACTGCTGGGATATGGCTGCTACCGAATAGGTCACAGGACAGTTCAGTTTGTTCTCTCAATGCCAGCAACACAGAGCTATCTTCAGAGGCTGACAGAGGTGCCTCAGCAGTGAACATCAAGTAGAGGCTCTGTGTGAAGAAGGTGGCTGAAGACAGGCTGATGGAGGCAACGTGTGAGCTGGACTGAAGGATGAGGATTCTAGTCAGAGCTGATTGACGCTGAGCAACACTCAATCACTATATAATAAAATATTTGATACACCAGCTATGATCTAATCAATAGTTTTGATTCTTGATAGGTGTGTTGCATGATACTAGATGATTCCAGATTGAGGTGAAAGAAATGTGTATGCAAATATATATATATTATATGTGCATACTATATACATGTATACTATATATATGCATTATATATAATATATATATATATATATATATAACTGATGATGTAGTACAGGCAGCTTAAAGGATGTGTGTTCATGGTTCCTTTTCCAGAGGAAAGAACAACAAAGTTACCTAATGGGCTGCATCTCCTCTGAAGTTCAGGGACACTTGAGTGATTCTTTGCTTTTTTTCTTAGGTATAATAATACCAAGTGTTTGTTTCTGGTGCCAGACACTTTTACACATAATTTAAAAGGACATCTTCTCAATGTGTGTTTTATACCTAAAACATTTAGATTTTTTTAAACTTAAGAGCTTTCCAGAAATTTCATAGTTGTACAGGCTGTCATACGTACACGGCTCAAATTTTTTACAAGCCTTACTGAAGAACAGGAATGTTGCCTTTAGATTGCATCCCTTGTTACCACCACCACAGTTGAATTGTCTTTCTTCTGCATAGAGAAGATATAGCCACCCCATCGGAATGCAATGTTGTTTGTGTCAGATGTTTACAGGACGCTCTGTTCCTTTAGATTAGCTTATTTAAACTGTATTATTTAGCCAAATCCTGCTGGTTTCAGTTTTGTAAATTTAAGAGACTAGAACTACTGTACAATTTACATTTGTTTCTCAGACCTTTCATATTTGGCATAAAAAGCTTGGAATTAACCTGCCCCTTGTTTTTGCTACATGAAAATATTTTATTTATCGATGTAATTTCTTGGTGGATGAATAATTTAATAGGAAAGCAGTGTTCAATTTAGTTTTTCAATCAACTGTAGCATTTAATTTGGATTACCTGCTGTTTATACATAGAATTATGGGTACTACAGACTGCTGTTATTTTATTTTTTAATTATCTGGAACACTCATCCATCATCAATCTATTTCTTTCTTTCTTTCTTTCTTTCTTTCTTTTTAAATCCTAGGTTCATATTTCACTGGAATTTTTTTGTACCTTCCCTTTTTACAGGATTGTCAGTGATTGTAAAATGCCCTTGGCAATCAGCTAGTCCTAGTTCAACAACACAGATAACATTGTCATATCAGAGTTAACCTGATGCATTTGAATGGAAGAGTCGAATTTGCTCCACAGGCTCATACACAGTTGCTCATTGCTTAAAGTGAGGTTCTTATCTGTATTAATTTCTTCCGGGAATGAAAGCTGGGAACCAGTATGTGAGGCAGGAAGAGGAAAAGGTGATTTTGTGTTTTTTTCAGTTGGTTCAATAAAATCCAGAAACAACTTTTAATAGGGTATATTTCCAAAAGCTTGTGTTGGAAATGGTTCCTTACAGTCTTTTATTTGCTGAAAGTATGTACATCTATATTCTGTACAGTGTAGTTCTTTTTTGAACTTTTAAAATTAAGGGCCTGATGCTCCACTCTGTGATGGCATTAACTTTGCTGGGAGCTGGTCTGTCCATGCAACCTGATGCTTTTTTGCCTTGCTCTTTGAAAATTTTATTTTCCAGTTCAGTTCCAGAGCAGCAAATTATTAAAGTGCATGTTTAACCTTACTGAATTTTAATCCAATTCTGCAGAGCTCTTAAGATGATGCTAGGTGCTTTTCTGTGTCTGGGCCTTCCAGATGTCCAGGGAATAAACCTTAACAAATGAGAATGACAGCAATTCATGCTTCTAGGACACAAAGTGTAAATGATAATACAGAAAGCAGTGGGGCAGGTCCTTTTATTTTCTATTTATTAGTGCTTAAGAAACCACCAGCCATCTCTAGCAAGAGGAAAAGCAGCATTTGTAAACAATTTATAGAAGAGTAGTGACTGCCTGAATTTTGATTCCTGTTTTTTAAAAAAATTACTATCTTGTTTACAATTAAGCAGTCCTATTTGAATAATTCTATTGCATTTAATGTACATTTTTAAAAGATGGAAGCAAAAGCTTAAGCTCACTCTTCTCCTGGCTTTACTGACGTACCAAAATGTTGTTCTGTTGGTTATTTTCTTGAGAATATTTTGCTGGTAGAATAAAATATATGGATATTTTGCTTTAAGTTATCTACAGATTTTAAAGTATCTGCAGGTATTTTAAAAGCTCTGTAGGTCTTTGATATCTGTGCTCAGGTAATTTTACACAAAGGAAAACAAATCTAAGGTGAATTTTAGATAGGAGCCTTAATCTTGGGTGGGACTAATGCTAAATGATTGTCATGGAGCATTCTTGCAAACTTGATGTTTTATGCTTTTTAGCCAAAAGTGATTACCATCTAAGGTATCCATTCGTTATTCAGTTATTCTCTTCAGTTAGTACCTTAAGTCTATTGTTTCAATCTTTTTTATTTTTTTTTAACAAAGCATATCAGCAGATTCTTCAGGGTACCTCCTTGTGGATGGAGAATTTGCAATTTATCTTCCCACTGTTGCAAATTGGCAGATCATATACATGCACTGTTTATTCAGTGGCACTGGAGAGTGATGAATTTGCAGAACTAACAACGTGAATCCATACACAAATTCATGATGTTGTATATTCAATGTGTTGTACTGCTTATATAACATAAATCTGTGTTTTAGGTCCATTCTTTTCTGTTCTAGTCAGTCCTTTCAGTGTTAACAGCATCCTATAAAATTTAAGTGTATGTTGAATTGTCCCAGCCCCGCCTCAACCTTATGAAGCCATATTGTATTTTTTTGGTGACATGTACATCTGTTTTATGCATTTGTACATGTGATGTAAATTTGAAGTATTTTTAACAATGTGTGCCTTTAAAGTGATTTAAAGTAAACAGCAGTATGTTCTATTATATAAAAAAATAAAATATTTTAACCACCATTTCTGTTGAAGCTATTTATTTTCCTAATTAACCAGTATTTTTTTTTGAGAGCAAGCACTGATTAGATCTAGTATAGGATAATGCCACCATTTAACACATTTTCCTGGAGAACATTAGTTGAACTAATTACCTCCTGCTGAGGGGCGTCTTAGTGTAATACTGAAGCAGGGGACTGACTACCACATGTAACTGGTTAAGAGGAAAAAGATGAGTTTCCCTGTCCCACTGAAAACATAGGGAGACTGCTCAACGTGAGAACATAAAATCAGAGTCCTGAGTTAGGCGTGGTGAGTTGCTTTTCTTTTCATGTCTCTAGTGCTCAGTCTTCCAAGGAGCTGACAGTTGTAGGTCCCAGTCTGGCAAAACACTCCAACATTGGCTTCACATCAGGCACAGTCATTTGTGTTTAAAGTGCTGTCCTCCGTGTAGGAAATAAAGATCCTTTCAGTGCAAAAGATGTTGAATGAGTGGCAAAGAACTTTATCTTTCAAATTGACACAAGTAAATCAATATGCCCATTACTTTAAAAAAAGTATTAATCCGTAGAACTTGTATTCATGTATATGATAAGCTGTATTCTATACAGATAACGTACCACCTGTTGGTACCCTTTGTCAATCAGTGGTCCATCTTTTTTGACTGTGTGTAAAGCAAAATGCAGCCTATTTTGCCTTGATCAGGCAAAGTCGCCTCCAGCTGCAATTGGAGCTGTGGCTGCAAAGAATTTCTGGTTAAACCATTTAGGTGGAAGAAAAAACTTCGCCTGCTGTAGTCCTGTAGTGTCCCCGGGAGCGGCAGAGAACATGGCACAGCAGCTCGGCTCTGGAGCAGTGCTCTGTCAGACAGCCTCAGGTGGCACCTGGCAGCTGCCTACTTTGGGTGTGTATTGTTCACCAGCATTACATTGCACACTGCTGGCCCATGTCATGTTTGAGGTGTCTTTTCTATACTGAACAAAATCTTAAAATTGACTTTTTGAGGTGTGTTAAAATGTCTGTGTTTCCATTGGAAGCTGTATTTCTGTGTGTATTGTAAAACATCTAAAAAACTGAGAAATATATTGAGTTACCTCAAAGTGCCAGGCAGTGGGAACTACACATGGAAAAGAAACAGCACATTATCACTTGTGTAACTCTAAGATACTCATGTATGTATTTCACTGTTTCTTTTTAAAAATGGAAATAAACTTTAATTTTGGACTTGAGTGTTTTAAGACTGACATTTTTGTGGAAGCTTTTAAGTACTGGCGGGAGAAGGGTCAGACTGATGGACAGACTTCAGCAGGGTGCTGAGCCCATGCTGTGGAAATGCACATGGAAGATATCAAGCACAGGACAAAAGTAGCCGCAAAGATCCACAGAGGAAATCAGTCTACTGACTCTCCAGGTGAAAAAATGCACCAGCTGTGTATATCCTCACACCAGCAGGTCTCGTTGCGTCCATGTGTATGTGAGGACCCCAGGAACAGCTGAAGCAGCTGTCCTGTTCAGCAGCTCCCCGCTGGAGAAGCTGCCTGGGGCTTTTCTAATTATCCGTTCCCTCCTCGCTTGCCTTGTTCCTGCTGCGGAGTGGAGCTTTCTCTATTCTAGGGAGGCAACAGCAGCAAAGATGAGGCTACCCTTATCCTCACTCCCAGCAGAGAAAAGGCTGGGAACTGGGGGGGAGGGGGGTGTGCTGTTTTCCATCACAGGTACTTTGCGTCCTGGCCTGGCTCTGGCTTCTCTGGCTTCACCACCCTGCTGGGGGTGACTGTGCTGCAAAGCGAGCAAACACTTGCTTGTGCTTATTGGAAGTTTTGTCTGTCGGTTTGTGTAGTATGACACGGAAAAGCTGTAGTGATGATAGGGGCAGGGAGAAAGACGCACACAGCTACTTTTACACTTGCCTTATCCAAGATACTTAGTACTTGTGTATTATGACTAATGCGTGAGGGAAAGTGGGAAGGATCAGACCTAAAAACAAAACAAACTAAAACAAAATAAACAAACAAAACCACGAGAAAGAAAAATAATTATTCCAGCTAGGTGACATTCTTTCAGTGGTAAGATGTCCCTGCTTCTGGCTACAGAGATGATTTACAAACTGGACAAAAAAATGAAAAGTGATATTTGATTAGAGAGGGGTGCTTATTAACGTGATGTGTCTCTGCAGCAGCTAAGCTGCACATCTGCCTTCTCCAGGGCCAGGAGTGTTCTGTTCCTGGAGCTGTGTGTGGGCAAGCCTGACAAGGTTGTTCAAGGCTTTAAGTTTGTTCAAGTGCAGCAGGGTTCTGGATGTGCATCACCTGCCACTGGGCAACTCCCTCTCCCTGCTGCCATCACCATGCTCTTTCTGTTACGGTTACACCCCAGCTCTTTAGAGCTGAGACTCACGTTTAACTGGAAAGTACAAGTAATATAATAATTTAGTGCCATCTACTGTCTGCAGATGGTTTACCGCCTATGTCCGGGTTTAAGCGGAGGTATCCACTGGACCATTCAGAGAAAGCAAGTGTGCACACCTTGGAAAGGTTTGGTCTTGACCCACCACTGCGGTAGCTGCTATTAACTGAAATAATACAAAACAGGAGCATTCTGACTAAGTACTGACTTGCAGCATACATTGGTTTATCTTTTCTCTTCTTGTGGGTCCAGCACCCCCGCCATCCGCCGATGCCTGCTGCCGCCCGCCCCTCGTACCGCCTCCGAGCGGGCTGAGCGGCCCCGCCCGCCGCCGAGCGTTATCCGCCGGGGCCAGCCCCGCTCCCGGCTCCCCGCTCTCCGGGAGCGGTGGCTCCATGGGCGGGACTCGCCGCGGCCCCGCCCCCGGCCTCGGCGCATGGACTCGGTGCTGCGCAGCGCTCGCCGCTTCCCTCCGCGGCTGCTGCGGGTGGCGTCGGGCCGGGCCCGGCGCGGCTCCGCGGGTGCGGCCATGCAGCAGCCCGAGGGCGGCGGGAGCTGGCTGGGTGCGCTGCGCTTCGACAACCTGGCTCTGCGCTCGCTGCCCGTAGACGCCTCGGAGGAGAGCGGCCCGCGGACCGTGCCCGGCGCCTGCTTCGCTCGGGTGCGGCCCAGCCCGCTGCAGAACCCGCGGCTCGTGGCCATGTCGCTGCCGGCGCTGGCGCTGCTGGGTCTGGAGCCCCCCTCGGCCGACCCGGCGGCGGCGGAGGCCGAGGCCGCGCTGTTCTTCAGCGGGAACCGGGTGCCGGCGGGCGCGGAGCCCGCGGCGCACTGCTACTGCGGCCACCAGTTCGGCAGCTTCGCGGGGCAGCTGGGCGACGGCGCCGCCATGTACCTGGGCGAGGTGCTGGGCCCGCGGGGCGAGCGCTGGGAGATCCAGCTCAAGGGCGCCGGCATCACCCCCTTTTCCCGGTAAGGCCCGGGCGGGACGGGGCCGGAGCAGCGCCCGGTGCCCCGTGCGTGGCTCGGGCGCTGTGAGGGGAGCACGGGGATGGACTTGCCGGCCCGCAGATCGCATTAGTGAGGGGCTGGTGCCGTGCTGAGGATCGTTCCCCTGAGGCAAGGGTCATCATCTAAGCCCTCGTGATTGTTTGTTTTTTGTTGAACTTTGGCAGCAGCGAGTGTAATGCTTAAATGCCAGATCACGAGGTGGCAAATTTTTCTGCTGGAAAACAAGAGTGTAGCTGGATCTCGTTCAGGTGGCACGTTTCTTCTGTCCGTGGTTATCCTCCCGTGCGGGTTTCCTCCTTCGGGAGGATGCAGACCATGATGACAGTGGAGAGAGCAGTGTATAATTGCTGCCCGCACAGATGGTATTTCAATGTGGGTGTTTGGTTGTGCTGCTGGTCCTTCTCCCCACTCTTCCCAGCTGTGGGACAGAGTAGTGGGAAAATCCCCAAAATTATAAACTGACCAAATCCCTGCAAGTGATCGACATGTTCGTTAGTCACATTAGCCTTTATATGCTTTCAGTATTTTTTCAGGTAATTTTTCCCACTTGAACTTTCCGTATTTACTGTCCCAGCTCTAAACAGGCTCGGTAACACCTTAATTTCATACATGTAGTCCTCTGAAGGCTTTCTTCAGGTCTGTGAAGATTAAGGAAATTCCAGATATGGTGGTAGCTTTGTAGATCTGCCCTGGACAGCTCTCCGGTTTGCCTGTGGCTTTGGAAGTGCTAGGAATGTGGGCTGAGAACCAACCCGTGTCTGTTCCATTTGCTTAGTATCTATTAAATAATCTAGTTTGTGTGTTTAGGTGGTTTGTTTTTTTAAATGCAACTGTTTTGCATCCTCATATTTGGGACCCCATTTCTTGATTGCTCACCCAGAAAGATTCAAAATAATATTTTTCATTGTATTTCATTTAATTAAGAAGAAACCACAGACTGGATATACAATATATGAAATAACTATAGCTGTCCAAATTAAAAAAATATATAAAGACTACCAATAAAACCAACATAGTTAATAATTAGAAGGGATATGTGTACCTGGAAGGTTTTTTCTGTTACATGTGCTCTTCATTGCAAGTTGTTGTGTCCATCTAGTTGAACTTTAACAGAAGTTTGAAGCCCTTTTCTTTTCACGTCTGCCACTACTTTTTTTGTGTGAGCATGGACAGACTGTGCTACTTTTAGGCTTTTATTTCTCTATTGCTCCGGAGGAGAGAGGAATTCCTGTCTTTATAGCCTGAAACTCCTCTGTGTCTTCTTGCTGCAGACAGGCTGATGGTCGGAAGGTCCTGCGGTCGAGCATTCGGGAGTTCCTGTGCAGCGAGGCCATGTTTCACCTGGGAATACCAACAACACGGGCTGGCACCTGCGTCACGTCCGACTCCAGAGTTGTTCGGGACATCTTTTATGATGGGAATCCAAAAAATGAAAGGTGTACAGTTGTTTTGAGAATAGCCTCTACATTTATAAGGTAGAAGCCTATTTTGTTGATCTGTTTTGTTTTGGTTTTTTCCATTTAAAACTAAGCAGTCTTTCAAAATACCATTTTAAGTGTATTTCCCTAACAGCACCATTTGTGTATTTCTTGTTCTGGAGGCTTGGAACTTCTTTTGCTGGGCTGTAGGAAGCTGCTTTTCTTGCTCAGCAGAAGAGATGGGCTGTTGTCTTTGCATTGAGACAGATAAATACTAGGGTTGCTGGCCTGGTAGAAAGAAGAAGTAAGTTCAGCAGACTTAGAAGAAGAGATTTTTCATGTTTACTCCTGTACAGAATACATGATTTCTTTTTTTTTATGTAGTGGTGGTGGATTATAGCTCTATCCTTAATTCTAGTTCTAATGCAGTACTTTGAAAGTTTGGGTGTACTTTCCCTGCTTGAGAAATGTGTGAGGTTCCTGCTGCAGCAGAAGCTATTAGGCATTTCAGGAAGTTGCATTGCTTCCTCTTAGGTTGCAGAATATTAGGGGAAGGTGAGGTATAAGGAATATGTGCTTTCATGTGTATGTGTATATTTGTGTGTGTTCATGTGTGTTTACATATCTGGAAAATACATCTGGTATGCTTGATGTACAGTCTAGTATTTAAAATAAGTCCAACTTCTACATATTTGCAGGATACAATTTTTTCAGTAGAAGGAGTTGTAAGAAACTTTAATGAGCTTATGTTCAGTACTGGCAGAGTTGGTCAGTTTAGTTATATGTGGATATAGGAGTTTCCTTTCACCAAGTCACTGAGCCTCACTGCTTTCAGTGTAGGACTCTTACAGGTCTTTTTCTCTCACCTGAAGAACTGGTGTTGAGAGATGATGTGCTGTCATTGCAACAACAGTGAATGTTTTTATTACGTGCAAAATCAAATTATATTAATAGTATGAGATAATTCTCAAATGTGTTTTTATTTTGAAACAGATTTGGCTCTTTTGAAATTTTTAAACCCCCTGATGAATACACTGGACGCAAGGGTCCCAGCGTTAACCGAAATGATATTCGAATACAGATGCTGGATTATGTGATCAGCACTTTCTACCCAGAAATCCAGGAGGCTTATTCAGACAACACTATTCAGAGGAATGCTGCTTTCTTCAAAGAGGTAAGGAAGATGAGATTCTTTTAATAAATCCATACCAGTAATCTTTAGGAACTTTTTTTTCATCTGCAAGCACAGATGACTGGAGTCGGTTAGTACTTTGTATGATTGCATTGTGTGAACGCTTCTTTGAAGAAAGCACTCTTCATAGACCTGCTTATTGATGAAAGCAGTATTGATATTGATCTAACCAGTGAAAACAATTTAACCTTCCTAATGGTAAATCATGATTTCCCTGCTTTGGGGGAGCTTCCAAAGGCTTGTCTCCAATTCCTGGGATTGTCTTAGACTGTGAGGGGGAGTTCTGGCTCTGACTGGCTCAGTTGTTGGTGCTGAGACATCACCTGCAAGGCATCATTTTGTAAAATACTGAGAATGCTAAGTCTCATTTTCCAAATTACAAACAGGAACGTTGTCTGCAAATCAGTTTGACCACAGATTTTAGAACTGAAATGCTTAAAGGCGGTTGAGCACTCTTAAAACTGGCCAGCAGACAGAGTAATTAAAAAATACCAGTGTCTAGTATTTGACTAGTCTATCTGAAAGCTGTTGTGGTGCTTTGAAATCTGAAATTATCTGGTATGGACTGAGGGAATGGCTGCAGCATGATGTACTTCCATAACAGATCAATAAGAGGCCAAAAGCCAGACTTGACATTCTATGGTTTGGTTTCCTTCCCTTTTTGTTTTCTTTACCACAACCTGTGCATACTTGCATTAGTTCTTCAAAGCAAGCTGTGGCTTGGTTCACCACTATGTTCCAAAGAATTTAACTCTGCTAGACAAGCCCTTTGTGTGTGAACAGTTGGGGTTGATGAGGAGAGCTGTGGCTTGTCACTCACTTTATGTGTGTCCAGCTCTGTGGCTGATGACAGAAAAGTCATGGGACTTAGGGACCTTTGTGGGGGGTTGTGTGTATGCCCAGTCCTGCCTCTTTCTGCTTTTGGCTGCCTTTCCTGGCCCAGTAACTACTAATTTGCTTCTCCTTCCTCCCACCCATATTCCTAGCAACCTTTTCTTGTTTCCAGAGATCCATATTTTGTTTGTTGTGCTCCTCGTGCCACTGCCTGTCCACACTCCATGTCTGTGCTATCATTGCCTCCTCATGTTTTCTCTCATCCTTAGTGGAGACTTTTCAGACTTTTCTCCACCTGAAAAACACCCCAGTCTGTTGTTCTCTAACTGAACAAAAACATCCATTGGCAGGCAACTGCTGTCACTTCAACTCTGTCTTGTTTTATCATTCTTTCTGCACTGTGGAGGAAAAAAGTACAGGTGACTGCATTTCACAGCACTGTCTAGAAAGCAGACATCTGTACTTCTCAATTTATAGCTGTTTTTAAATTTAAATTAGCATGTCCTGACAAGCTGACAACTTTATTTATAGATACACCATACTTGCCTTCTAGTTTGGCTAGCTGTAGAACAATGTTGATCAAAAATAATAAAGGTCAGAGGATGCAGAGCTGTCTGTTCATTATCAATATGCCCATCTTTGAGTGGCACCCAGGCTTTAGTTGCTTTTGGGCACTCTTATCAGGGGGATTTCTTTTTACCAGAACCCTGGTAGTGTGCAATGCATTCGTACAAGGACTGCCTTACCAGTGGAGTGCTTTCATCCCAACCCTGGTGGCCAGGATTTTTTCACTTTCAAATTTTTCATTTTCCTGGCACAGAGCCGTTGTGCAGAGTGTGCCTCTCTAACTGGTTCATGGCCTAGGTAATCAATTTTGGACACGTGGAGCTTGCTGCTGGCTTCCAACTGCCCCATGAATCAGCGTTCAGGAAAAAAGAGTAAAGTACCTAGCATGAGAATATTAGAAAAATTAGAAGTGTGGGATCTCAAGGTAAACCAAAAGGTTCTCTTCCATGCATCATTTGTGGTTTTCACTACCTGTCAGGGCAAGATTTGCCTGATTTTTCTTCTTTGTTTTACTACATGTGTTTTTTTAGAAAAGGTAGAAAAATTCTGGATTTGAACACAAAGGCATAGAAACATCTAAAGAAACAATTTGTAGATTTTTTTTTGAGCTTTAATGAAATACAGCTACACTGCAGCATGGAGAAAATCGTTTGTTTTGAATTTCTGTGCATTGTAAGCTTTTTGGGAAGAATGATTTTATCTATAAAAATAATTTTATTTAAAAGTTTTAGTGAACAGCTATGCAAAATTTTTATTTACAGTAATTTAGTAAAGTATTTGCAACTAGTTTTATTTTCAAACCATGTTAGCTTCCTGACTTTTAGATTTTCAGTGTTGTAGTTGACAGATGGGTTAATGTATTTAAATAACCAGGACTGTTTTAAAATATTATGCTATTTATTTGAAGGATGGGGCACATGCAATGATTTTAGTCAATTCCGTAAAAATACTTCTCAGTTAAGCAGTTCAAAATTACTGATAAAGCATGCATTTGGTGAAGAATTGCATTTAAATAAAATTGTCGTTCTTGCAGTATTTTTATTTAATCTTGTAGCCTTATTTCCACTCTTAGAACATGGAGATAAATGCTTATCAGTGCTAAAACCTGTTTGCAGGAAATCGTTTTTTAGTCAGCCCTTTAACCTCCCTGTAAATGAGCCCTACATACAAGGTAAACCAAAAGACTGCACCTGCTTAGGTGATTTTCTGCCTATACTCTTTAAAATTGATAATAGGCAAGATAATATATTTGCATAATGATTAGATTAGTATGCAAGTCTGATGTGAAACAGTTTATTTCAGTGTTCTGTCTTCAGTGCATTTGAAAGCTGTTCAATTGACTGGCAAGGCAAGCATGGAAGGAGAGGAGTGGAGGCAAATGGAAATGGGAGGCAGAGAAACAGGGGGACTAACTGACAGGAGGAGAGGGGCAAACTGTCCTGAAGTTATTTGTGTGTGTGGCATACTGCCAGAATCTGCTCAGTTCAGACTGGGAAATACATGAATGTATTGGAAATGGGTTGTGATGAGAAATGAACAAACATCCTTTCTTTCAGATAACCAAACGGACAGCGAGATTGGTGGCTGAATGGCAGTGTGTGGGGTTTTGCCATGGCGTGCTGAATACAGATAACATGAGTATAGTTGGACTAACCATTGACTATGGCCCTTTTGGGTTCATGGACAGGTCAGTGTAGCATCGTTGTTTGAAATATGCATATGTTCTTGCTATGTAGGACTATCCTGGTGTTTGTGGTTGCTTTAATAGCATAGCTCTAAAGAAGATTTTAAAATTATCTTTATGGCAAAGGAGATTAAGGTAGTTCTAGTTGTCCTGTAATTCTTCTTGTCAATGTACTGTTAAGAGTGTTCTTGTAGCCTGTGGCATTGAGAAAAGGAGTGTTTTCTTTCAAATTTTAGTTCCTAGAGCAGACTAAAATAATAAAAGTATTATTTCTCACAATGTTGTTGTCCAGATAACTAGAAGAATGCTAACTGTTTCTTCTCTTGTAGGTATGACCCTGAGCATGTTTGCAATGGTTCTGATAATACAGGGCGCTATGCTTACAACAAACAGCCAGAGATTTGCAAGTGGAACCTGGGAAAACTTGCTGAAGCTTTAGTTCCAGAGCTGCCCTTGGAAATAAGCCAGCTCATCCTGGAAGAGGAATATGATGCAGAATTTGAGAAACACTATTTGCAGAAGATGAGAAAAAAACTAGGCCTAATCCAACTGGAATTAGAAGAAGATAGTAAGCTGGTGTCTGAACTGCTTGAAACTATGCATCTCACAGGTTGGTGAATGGCACAGAAGGTGCTTATTTAACAGCCTATCAGAACCTATTATCAAATCAAAATACAATTTATATCTTGACCTTAAAAAAAAGTAGCCTTTGCAACTACATTATTATCTGTGAGAGGAGCAAGAGGCTGAAAATAATTACCTTATTGTGAACTGTGGAGTAGTTGTTGCCTTATTCAGGGCCCCTGTCTCACATTTACACCCTTACTGAGAACAGTTTATTTGCCTCTTTAGAATGGTGACCTGTACTGCTGTAGGAGGAGGTAGGAAGGAGGTGTGGGAACTGCATTCCTACTGATTTATTAATTGCATCACTCATACAATTCATTTTTTCAGCTGGAGACTTCACAAATATTTTTTACTTGCTGAGTTCATTCTCAGTAGACATTGATCCTTCAAAATTTGAAGATTTCTTAGAAGAGCTTGCAAGTCAGTGTGCTTCTGTGGAAGAACTGAAAGTTGTTTTTAAACCACAGATGGATCCAAGGTATTACTCTGCTTAAAGGCTTTTGACTTTTGCTTTTAGTTTCATTATAACCATAATGAACTCTGCATGGAATGTAATATTTCACTGATTTTAAGATTGGAAATGTCACTGTTAATTAGATGCATCATGATATATAGCAGTGACTTTCAGCCGTCACTGGTTCTTGAGTTAAAGTTGTCTGAGCTTTTGCTTGGTCTTTTTTTTGTTTCCTTCCCCATCTCTGCTGACTTGAGACAATGAGAGTGCCAAATAATGAAGTGATATGGAAGTATTTTACAGAAGAAATGGGTTTGAACTACATGCTACTGTGTTCTGCTAGTGTACGATCAGCAAAAAACACTTTAAACTGCCAAAGTTCTGGTGTAAGAGTAACGTTTGGGTGGTGTAGTCTGTGCCCCATTTGTTCTGCAGTCCAGCTACTCTGAGCATGGAAAAATAATAATTCATGTTCAGCTGCTGCTTATAACAGTGATTGCACCAGTTTTTTACTCTTTGGAGATGGTGGAAAAAATTAAAGGTATTTTGGATGTACTTGTCTCCACCCCCCCTTATTTAGTAAGTGCTCCATGAAGGTAATGAACCTACCAAATTTTTCAGCTTTTGCTGTGTGTTGATAGCACAATACAAAGATAGCTTGTCTAGTAGAGATGGGACAGTATTTTTTAAACACTGGATTCAGGACTAGAGAAACATGAAAGGTGGCTATAAATCATCATGATAGGGATGTGACATTTTGGAGGGGAATAGTCCTATATTTAAGTGAGTGCATGACTGATTTCTTTTTTAATCCCAGCATTTGGATATCATAGATTGAAGCATGTCAGATATGTACATCAGATCTGGATAGTACTTTATATAAACTCAGAAATCAAAGCATCTGGCTTATCTCTGCTGACTAAAAGTAGGAAAATATAACTTGATATAATGAGTTGTCTGTTTTGAGGCCAAGATAAATGTTTCTTTTCTCCTTTGCTTAAAAATGCATTCTCAGAGGAAATAAAAACACCTTGTATTTTGATACGCTGCAACTCTTTTGTTTTTTATTTTATTGTATGCTATGCTGTAGTTATTAATTTAGGAAAAATACAAGCTATCATGGTATTGCAATATAAGGTGGAGCTGTTGTACAGCACTAGCTAACACAGTGAAATGTGAAAAGATGCAACCCTAGTCAAACTTGCAGCAAGTTGATATGGATATTGTTTGGAATTTATTACCAGAAAGCAGCTCTCAGTCTGTGATTTTGACTGGCTAACTAAATCAAATACAGTGTTGTCTCATGCAACTTAAATGAAGTATTTTTCCCCATATCATTTTGGTTTTTATTAGTACTGGCAAAAATAGTAGGTATTAAAGAAATAAAAAAACCTCAAACAACAAAACCTGTGACTTCTATATTGTCTTGTAATCTATGTAAGATTAAATTTTTAAAACCAAATTCCTTTCGAAGTTCAAAGAGTTTTGATGAGAATTGTGCAACTAAACCAGCGATCTTGAAAAACTGTTTGCACTTTATATACCACAGGAACATGAATTGAACACATGAAGAAGGGGGAAGAAACAGTAAAATTAGAATAATTCATAATAAAAATTGTTTTGTTAATTACGAATTTCTGTTACTTAACCTCTCTAGTGAAATCCTAGTTTGTTGGGAATGGTTTTGTATCTGCTTTGATCACAAAGGGATGGTTCTTGACAGGCAGCTCAACTTTAGTCTCTAACACATTTGTTCTTTTTGTTCCCAGACAACTGTCAATGATGCTGATGTTGGCTCAGTCTAATCCTCAGCTGTTTGCATTAATTGGAACAAAAGCAAATATAAATAAAGAATTGGAACGCATTGAAGAGTTCTCTAAACTGCAGCAGTTAACAGCAGATGATTTACTTAGCAGAAATAAAAGACACTGGAAGGAATGGCTGGAGAAATACAGGTAAGGTTTCTCGGTATTGATAGCACTATTATATTTCTGCATTTTGAGAACGACGTGCAGGTCTCACAAAAGACACCCTGTCTCAAATATAGATTGGGGGATGGGGAGGGCATACAACTCAAGAATATTTCTACTGCCATAATCAGCGTCTTTGTTGCTGTGAAAGTTCAAGGGCATCTTTTTATTTTGTTTACTAGATTTTGAGGTAGTGTGAGGGTGTAGAAATCACCTAGCATCAAATCTAGTATGAAAAGTGCTTCAACAATATTGGTGTTGATTCTGACATAGACTAATTCCAGTTGTGAACTTTTAAGTGCTTAGTAACTATAACTGACTGACCTCTAATCATTCTATCCTTTGAATTTTTTTTCCTAAAGAAGAGTCTTTATGTGTTAATACAGAAAGCAAGTATTCGTAATCAAAAAGTTAAAACAGAAATAATGGCCAGGAAAAACAAATGTCCATACTGTTCTATAGCCTAAAAACTTAAGTGTTAGCAAGAGATTTTTTTTGTAAAGAAAACTCCTGAATAGAGTCTTAATTTTTTGTACTATGTGGATTAGGTCAGATCTTTCCTCACCCGGCTGCCTGTGATCTTGTTCTCCAGCAGGGCTGAGAGCTTTAGCAAGTATTACTGATAGAAAGTACCTCAGACTGCTCAGCTGTATTGCATCCCTCTGCTTTTACCAGAACAGCAAAAGCTTTAACCAATAAACAGTATAGAAATACTTGAAATACAGGACCTGAGAGTGTCAGGCATTGCAGAGCAATGCAGAGCAGACTATATCCCGTGTCTTGATCTGACTTTAGAGAATAGAGAAGTTGTGCTGTGCCGCTTCCTCAAGCCACGTCAGGACCTGCTGACTGTCCATAGTACTGCTTTTAAACTTAAGTGGTGTTTTATATTCTGCTGTCATGCTGCATTTTGTAAACTGAGAGGATTATAGATGATGTAGTATTTTTTAAGAACTGCAAACAAAATATCTCAAAACAAGAAAATGTGTCAACTTCTATGTGTGGGTCTTGGTAAAAACCAGTTGTGGTCACCTGCTTAATTTCAGAGTCCGTTTGCAAAAAGAAATAGAAAGCATTGGTAATGCTGATGCCTGGAAAACTGAGCGTGTGAAGGTCATGAATTCAAACAATCCAAAATATATCTTGAGAAATTATATTGCCCAGAATGCCATAGAAGCAGCTGAAAATGGGGATTTCTCAGAGGTATGCTATTATTGCTCTTTCTCTCTCTCTCTAGGCTTGTGTGAATATGTAGTGGTGCTGTCAATGACTGATAATATACCAGGCAAAATTTAGTCTGAATCTTGGGTAGTAAGGGGATTGGGAATTCACTGTTCAGGAAGTATCTATTGCTTTTGTTGAAACTGTAATTTTAATGACTGCAGTACAAATAATGGAATCAAAATTCTGAATCTGACCTTCACCAGCTTTTGTAGGCTGACCTCAGGACAAGATACTTAACACTGCTTTTACTGTCTTGAGAGTGGCTTGGAAGGTAGATGAGGATTAATTTACACTTGTTCCTTTCTGGAAAGTGTTATCTTTCCAAATTTACATCTTTCACCTGTAGACTTCAGCATGTGGAACATTACATGCAGAATATGGGAAAACTAGTTTATTTTGAGACATTACATAAGAATTTGTATTTAATATTTGCATTTCAAGTTATTTGAGCCTGAGTCCCATACAGATACAAACTCAGCCAGGTACAATTTTACAGTTTGCATCTTATGTGTATTGTTCATCTGTTTAATATTTGGCTTGTCTGGAGTTCATGTATTAAATACAATATACCTGTTCATTATTTGGCAAGAGGTTCTTCTCCATATCACTTTGCTTCACTTTTTAAATTCTTACAACTGTGCTGTGTTTTCACTATAGGTAAGAAATGTACTGAAACTTTTAGAACATCCATTCCAAGAAGCAGAAGGTTTCCAGGAGGTAAAGGAAGATGCAGAAGAAGAGGGAGCAACTGCTACAGCAGCCGTTAGGTCTCAAGAGACCAGAAGCAGACAACCTTATTGCAGCAAACCTCCACTGTGGGCTTCAGAGCTCTGTGTTACGTGATCTTCATAACTGCCTTGTTTTGTTTTTTGCTGTGAACTGAAGACTGATCCTCCTTCAGCAGCGAAGAATTCAGCAAGGCAAACAAAGTGCTATTAAGTTATTGAAACAACACTACATTTGGATGCCTCTGCAGCAGTCTTCAGCTGTGCTTAATTTGAAGCAATTGTGGATCATTGGAACAAACCAGTGCAAATCAACAGCCTATACACGTCAGTAATCTAAATGTTTAAATACTCAAAGTCTTTCCTTTATCCTCACTACATTGCAAGTAAAAAGTAGTATTTTATGTTGAGGCAGGCTGAACTTCAAACATCCAAATGGAGTTGTTGTTACATGAAGACAAAAATGGCAAGTCAAGAATATGATCTGTTTTTGTCTGATATCTTAACTAATAGTACTTCTAACACTTATTTACCGCTTTCTCTATGCAGAAACTTTTAGTCCTCTTTAGCAGAGGAATAGATTCAGTGTTGCTTGTTTGAAGCTTTAATTAAGTAGTTCATTTCTTGTGAACTTTCATATTGGTATTTAATCATTATCAATTTTCTAAGAATTTGTGCAGGCTAGAATTTGGGGGTAGCAACTGAATTTTTTTAAGATCAGAATTAAGGGAGATTACATACATTTGCACTTGAAAACTTGGTGGTGAAGTTTATTCATGTTCAGTATGTTTGCACACAACACCCAAAAATATCTACTAAACTCAGGAGTGCAGTTTGTAAGCCAGCTGCCTCTGGCAGGATCCATAAGCCAAATTAGTGTGAGCCTTAAATTACCTCAGCACTCAAATCCAGGTTTGCTGTATTTATTTCTGTGCTTCTAACAGAATCTGCCTGTTTGAGAAGTGTGCAGGTGAGGTACCTACTCATCACACTGGTCAGTGGGATTCTTCCACTCCTTCTCTACTCCTGCACCATTTAGTTTGGTTCTGTGGTTGACTGTTTAGGAGCATGCTATTTGAGCTTGGGTAAAAGATGGAAGATGTGGGAGGTGAAGAACTGACTTGCTTGCAAGTTACTTACATTTCAGTTGAGGTTTCAGGGGAAGGTTGGTTGCTGTTGCAATTATTTTGAGACAGACTGGACTAGCATCACCACCAATCCTTTATTAGAAAACTTTTCATGCCTTCTTTCAATGTACTTCTTTCTAACAACTCTGACTCCTTCCCTCATAGGCAGCTTCCCACAGTACTGACTCCTTTTCTTACAGGCAGCTCCACACAGCTCTGACTCCTTCTCTTCTCCTTCATGCCTGGCTAAACCCCAACCTGTCCCTTTCCCGGCTGCCTTACCCTGTCTGTCGCTCACACAGCACCTTCTTACCTTGTCTGTCCCTTGTACAACCCCATGTCCCTTCCTCCTCACAGCACAGCCAGCAGACTCTGGATCTCAAGCTCCAACTCTAACTGCAACTGGTAGCCAGCGAATCCACTCTTTTATAACACCCAAACTCATTGAGCAGGCACAGATGCTTCCACTTTTCTGTAATCAGTACAGCTGTAATTCATCAGGAAAGATTGCCTTCTATACTATCCTTTCAACCTGTCTTCCCACAGGTTGCCATTTTTGTCATATCATCAAAAGAATGTTGTTCTGTGAGGCTTTTTCTCGGCCCTAAAAATGGGGTCTTCACCTTTCCTCCGGTCTAGCTCAGGTGTTAGGGTGAAGCCTCCTGGGCCCTTGCCTCATGGACGTAAATAAGATGACAAAAGAGGCTCTTTTCCCTGATGAAGTTGCAGGGTTTATTTCTCGTGGGTAGTGAGGAAAAGAGAGAGAAAAAAGAGCGAGAGATCAGGGGGCACAGATCTTTTCTAGGGTCTGAAAAGAGGGGTGGGGAGAAATTGGATCCCAGCCAGCCCTGTATGGCCAGGAGGGGAGAGGGACCAAGCTACAGGGCATAGCAGGGGTCAGGGAATGTACCATTTACAATGCATCTCGGAAATGCAACATCTCCCCGTTTTTTGTTTAACAAAGTTGAAAGAAGGATATTAGTTTCATTCAAATTATGATTTTGCCCACCACTTGCAGTTGGTGGGATGGTTAGATTATTCTAAGTTTTTCATTTCTATGTGATTGACTACTGAGGTAGAGGGAATGAGACCATTAATAGCCTTGAAAACTAAGTGATGTAGGATCCCGAACGCCATTATTACAAGGAAAAGAATAACAAAAATTAACATAATTGTTTTGACTATAGATGTCCACCACCCTGTGAGTCCCCAGCCTTTGAACAGTCCATTGAACCAATCTTCAGATTCTTGCTTCACTTGTCCGATTAAGTTGTTCATGTTTCGGAGGGCAGCATGGATGTTAGGAGCCCTCGAGGTCAGGTCCATACAGCAAAGTCCTTCAAATTCCTGGCACTCATGTCCATGTAGTAGTAGGAGAAAATTTATAGCAGCACGATTTTGGAGTGTGTGTGCCAGATGTTCTGACGTGGTTGAAGGACAATTCCTGCAGCTGCTAAACTGTTCAGTGTTAACAGGAAGACAACTTGAATGGGGTTCATCACAGGACCTAGAGAAGGGAAGCATTTCTCTAAAAGGAAAGACAAACATTGTAAAACTTATTAAAAGTCTCTATCTGCTGGAATGTCATCCTTTATGAGGATTTCTTTTTCTTTTTTCCGGCGGCGTCTTCTTTTTGAAGCCACAGCCACCTGCTCCTCGTTCCCCTCAGTTGGAGCAGGATGTTTGGGGACATACGGTTTCACCCACTTTTGGGGAATCCACCGAGGGCCTGAGGGAGTGGATACGCATGCATAGCCACGCCCCCAGGTAACGAGCTCATAGGGACCTTTGATTTCCCAGGTTTCTGGGTCCCTAATCAAGACTGGAGGATGTTGGGATAACTTGAATTGTTTACTACTGTTAAAGTGACGTACCACAGGTGGACTCATGTTCTCAAATGAACAATTCAGGAAATTGATAGTAAACATGGCTTTGCAGAGCTTCTGCTGTGGAGACATCCACGCAGTTGAACTGCTCTGTTTAGCCAAAACCTGCTTGAGCGTCTGATTAGCTCGCTCAACTACACCTTGGCCTGTGGGGGAGTGGGAGGTGCCAGTTTTATGTTCCACTCCCCACTGCTGGACGAATTCCAGGAACTCCTTGGACTTCTACGCTGCGCCCTTATCAGTTTTGATTTCCCTAGGGATCCCCAATACTGAAAAGGCTTGCACTAGGTGTTGTTTGGCGTGCATTGCCCTTTCTTCTGTGTGGGCAGAGGCATAGACTGCGCCTGAATATGTGTCAATGCTAACATGCACATATTTGAGGCAACCAAAACTAGGATGTGTGTGATGTCTGTCTGCCATACCTCACAACTGCCAAGACCTCGGGCGTTTACCCCCATGCCCATTGATGGCATGGTGTGCAGCTGACAGTTGGGACAGGCGGCCACAATGGCTTGAGCCTGACTCCGTGTTAGCTGGAACTGACGCATTAGACCTGGTGATACTGCTGATGGCTCAGCTTTGCCTGTTGGAAGATGTCAGGAAGGCGTGCTTGTTCTGCTGGGGTTGCAAGGCAGTCTGCCTGACGGTTCCTTTCTGCAATTTCGCCCGGCAAATCTGTGTGTGATCTCACATGCATCACATAGAACGGGTGTTCTCTATGAGAAATCAAATAAATTAGTTTGGAAAGCAACCTGAAAAGCTGCTCATTCTCGATATCTCTGAGCACTGCCTGCTACGCCCTGGACACTATCCCCGCTACATAGGCTGAGTCTGTTACCAAGTTGATTGGCTCTGAGAACTTCTCAAAGGCTCTCACGACTGCTGCCAGTTCAGCTACCTGGGGTGATCCTTCCACAAACTCAACATCAGCTTCCCAATGCTGAGTCTGGGGATTTTTCCAAGTCATCACCGACTTGTGGGACGCCCCGGATGCATCTGTGAACACTGTGAGAGCTTTGAGTGGTCTCCGACTCCTCTTCTCATGAGGAATGAGGTGGAATTCCTCATTAAACAGCTTGTGAGATGGGGCATGGACTGATATTTGTCCTCTGTAGCTGTCCAGGGCTAATTGGAGACTGGCATTGCTCTGGAGCAANTGGGGCATGGACTGATATTTGTCCTCTGTAGCTGTCCAGGGCTAATTGGAGACTGGCATTGCTCTGGAGCAAGTGCTCAAACATCTCTTTAGTCAATCTTTCAGGAGAGTTCCTTCCCTCCTCAGACAGTTTAACAGGGAGGTGAATACATGTGAAGTCACAACCAGCTAGTTCATACAGTCTTATCCTTGCTTTCTGAATCAGCTGAGCTATCAACTCTTGTGGCTTAGTGATAGTTTTGGATCTTTGGTGGAAGACCCACTCCGTGATTAAGAGTGACTCTCTCTGCCCCTGGATCCATTGGAATATTAACCCATGTAAGTGTGGCAGTTTTCCTAGGACAATGAATTTGAAGGGCAGCTCGGGCTGGTAACGGTGAGCTTGCCTCTCTCCTAAAGTCTTTTGTACCTTTTCGATTGCAGTCTTTGCCTCTGGGGTCAGTTCCCTGGGAGAAAGCAGCTCTCTCTCCCCCTTCAATAAATTGAAGAGAGGTTCTAGGTCCTCATTAGTGAGGCCTAGCCAGAGCCTGACCCAATTCAATGACCCACACAGGGAATGGAGATCTGCTAAGGTTTTTGGATTACAATTAATTTCCAATTTCTGCGGAACAGTGGTCTGTGCAGTAATTTCTAAGCCCAGGTACTTCCAAGGTGGCATCCTTTGGACTTTGTCCTCCTGCAATTCAAATCCAGCAGAGGTTAAAACTTTAACCACTAGGTCAAGTGTGTCTTGGAGTAGAGAGTTATAGGGGGCACACACAAGCACATCATCCATGTAATGAAGGATGATGGCCTCCCCTCTCTGGGCACGCACCGGGGACAGCAATGAGGCCACATGCCACTGGCAGATGGAAGGACTACATTTTAATCCCCGGGGCAAAACTTTCCAGTGGTAGCGCTTTATTGGGGCTTCTCGATTGATGGTAGGAACCGAGAAGGCGAACCGTGGGGCATCCTCTGGGTGTAGGAGAATGTGGAAGAAACAGTCCTTGATGTCTAGAACAGCCAATTGCCAATCTCTGGGAAGCATTGTTGGAGAAGGCATTCCAGGTTGGAGAGACCCCATGTCCTCGATTACTTTGTTTATTCCCCGGAGGTCGTGGAGCAGCCTCCACTTGTCCTTCCCCGGTTTCTTTATCACAAAAACCGGAAAATTCCACGTACTTGTGGTCTCCTCTATGTGGCCTTTAGCCAATTGTTCCTCCACAAGCTCCTCAAGCGCCCTGAGCTTCTCCTTACTCATTGGCCACTGTGCTACCCACTTTGGGGTATCATCTAGCCATTTCAGTTTTTGGGTAGGGTGCTCTACAGTGG